AGAGGCCGTGAAGCCTCCAGCAGCATAACTCAGCGGATGAGTTCGCCCCAGTACCAGACCTTCTACCTTAAACTGCAGATTTCGCCTCCCCTTGTTGTACTGGTTTGCCTGCTGTAGTCTCGAGATGTCGAGGCTCTCTCGAGCTTCACGCAGGTTCTCCGTGAAACGCTTCCGGAGATCTTCTGCGAACTGCGTGGTAGTGCGCTGCAAGCTTGCAGGCTCTGTGCAAAGGAGGCCGTTTCCCAGGGGAAACACGAGCTCTTTCCCAAACTTAAGTTGAGCCGGAGTAAAGCCCGTGAATCGGTTGACTGTTGTGCGGATAGCGAATGCCATTTCTGCCAATTTCGCGTCCCAGTCTTTGTGTCGCTCTTTATGCGATACAAGCATCTGCTTCAGGTTACGGTCACTCTTTCCGTCATCTACGCCTGTGGATGGTATGGCGAAGTCCGTTTGTGCCGTATGCCTAGCGCCTTACACGCATCCACGAAAGCCTTGCTAACAAAATAGGAAGCATTGCCTGTAATAAGCGTTGCGGCAAAGCCAAAGCGCACGAACGTCTCGAGAAGGCAGTCCCAGATTTTCCTAGAGTCTAGCTTGCGCAAAGAAAACATTTCGACCCACTTCGTGAAATGGTCGGTCATACTAGCAAATACTGATTGCCGCGTGGACTACGGGGAAAGGGACCGACAACGTCGCAGGCAACACACTCCCAGGGGTACTTGCTTTCGACAGGCTGCATTAAACCTGTTGGTTGGTTACCTCAGGGTTTCGCCTTCTGACAAACCGGGCAGCTACGTGTGTACCTCATCACATCCTGCCTCATACCTGGCCACGTTGGAATTTGGGGAAACTTTTCGTAAGTTTTGCTCAAACTGCTGTGACCTGCCAATGCGGGATCATGCATATATCTTATAAATGACTTACGCAGTTTACGTGGTATTACAGTCCGGAATGGCGGGCCGCTGGACCCATCGTCCGCCTGGGGGATGTATCGCTGCAGGATGCCGTCGCTGCTGAGCAGGTATGAGTCCAAGTCTCTGGGATTCCCAGCGTCAGCTGTGTTTTCTTCTGTCAGCTGGTGCATCACCTTCTGACAAAGTCCTTCGGGCTGCTGGGCCGCTCGGAGCTCCTCTCTGCTCACCAGGGTTCCCCACCGAGAATCTGGTGTGATGGGCGCCACATTAGTCAGTGACACCAAGTCGGGATCCACCTGCATTTCATGCCCTAGAAGCGGAGCACGGGACAACGCATCTGCAACGTGGTTAGCCACTCCACACTTGTACTCGATTGTGCATTTGTAGCGCAGGAGCGAAAGGGCCCATCGAGCGAGTCGTCCTGCAGGGTTTTGAAGCCCTTTGAGCCACGAGAGAACCACGTGGTCAGTTTGAAAGCTAAACGAAGCGCCGTAAAGTTAACATGTTAAACTTCTTAAGCGCAAAAATAATTGCCAGACACTCTTTTTCGGTTGTTGAGTAGTTTCCTTCCTCTCCGGTTAACGTATGACTGGCGAAAGCTACGGGACAAAGAAATCTGGCATGTTCTTGCAGAAAGACGGCTCCTAGTCCTTAATCGCTTGCGACGGTCTGCAAGATGAACGGACGATTCAAGTCGGGCAGATTTAAACACGCGTTTTCAGTCATAGCCCAGGAAAGACACGCGAATGCGGTTTGCTGCTCTTGCCCCCAGCACCATTTCGATTTGTTTTTATTTTTGCGGAGCAATCGGTTCAGAGGTTTAGCTATCTCAGCGCATTGCGGAGTAAAGTTTTTATAAAATGCAATCATCCCGAGATATCTCTGTAGGCCTTTGACGTCATAAGGGGGTGGGTACTCCGTTATTGCGCGGAGCTTACCTTCATTTGACCGCAGCGTTCCGTTATCTACAATTCCGAGAAGGTTGATTACAGGCGATGCCAACTGGACTTTATCTGGATGAATCGTAAGGCCGTCCTGACGCATTCGTTCGAGTATGATGTGCAGGTGCACGAGATGCTCCTCGAATGTTCGTGGAAATACCACTACGTCATCCATGTGCGCCATTGCAAATTCGTACTTCGGGTCACCGAGGACAACGTCCATTAGGCGTTGAAAGCTGGCGGGAAAGTTGGACAAACCAAAGGAAGGCGAGTGAATTTGAACAACCGCCTGTGGCAAAGGAATGCGGTCTTCTTTACATCAGCCGGATGAACTTCGATTTGAAGAAATCCGCGGCTGCAATCGAGGGTTGTGAAGACAGTGGCGTCTTCAAGGGCATACATTACCGAGGAAATGGGTAACTGTCTCAGACTGACACTTCATTTAGGCGCCTGTACAAAGCCTTGCTGTGCCGTCCTTCTTTGGAGCAAGGACCACCGGGGAAGCCCATGGGCTTTTTGCCTGACGTACTGCACCTGTGTCGATCATTTCCGATTGCGCCGCATCAAGAAGTTCGCGCTTGTGAGCAGTTATGGGTCTCGGATTGCGCCTTCCCGGGGGTGAATCCTCGGTGTCGATGCGGTGCCGTAGGAGATGGATTTTCCCAAGTCTTTCCGTGAACATCGGCGAGAAGGGTTCCAGCAGTTGCTGGCGCTGCTTCTGGTTGTCCTCACCGAAACACTTTTGCACGGCTTTGAGCACGCTGTCTGGAAGTAAGGACATCTGCTCGGCAAAGTTTAAGGGGCACACTTGGCCGCGAATACAGTACTGCCGTCTGGTAAACGACCTTAATTTCGTTTCGCCTTCCAACCAATATCCAGCTTGGGCAAAGTATAGCAAAACCCGCTCCACTGCAATAAATTCTCTACCAAAAATCATTTGCATTGAAAGTTCCGGAAGGTATACGAACCTTTGTCTTCGTTTTCTGCCATCAAAGGATGTTTTTAACCTTACTACGCCGGCAGCAGGCAGTACGGACCCCGATGCTACCTGGAATTTCACGTTTGCTGACCGGAGATGTATCTTTTTCTTGTTACATTCTGGCCGCCCGGTTGTCGATGCGAGAGCAGACACGCCGGGAGCCTCAAGACCGCGAACGGTGTGAGCTGGGCGCCCGGGTGTCCGTGCAAACTCTTACACGCCAGGAGTCTAACAACGAAGAGTGAAAGTGTTATGAGCTGGCCGCCCGGTTGTCGATGCGAGAGCAGGCACGCCGGGAGTCTCAAGACCGCGAACGGTGTGAGCTGGGCGCCCGCGTGTCGACGCGGACGCCAGTACGTCGGGAGTCTCATGACGGAAAGTGTTGTGAGCTGGCCGCCCGGTCGTCGGTGAACGAGCAGGCACGCCGGGAGTCTCAAAACCGCTAACGGTGTGAGCTGGGCGCCCGGGTGTCCCTGCAAAATCAGACACGCCGGGAGCTCATAACGGAGATTGTTACAATAAAGGAAAAGTGATGGAGGGCCACCGAGGGTCAATAGAAAAGCGCCAGTCTCCGTAAACTGTGCGAGCCTCCGGGAGGCCCGGAGGCGGCTGAGGCCGCTCGATCTTGTGGATTGTGTTTTCGGCGCGGCCGGTGGAGAGTAGAAATTTCTTACCACCGCCGGCCGTAGCCCCAGTGTCTGAGGTGGCCGCTGCCGTTCGCTGCAGTCCCGATGTATGTGTCCTGGCTTGCCGCATCGAAAACAACGTGGCGTGACCCGCCCGTGGTCAAGATGACCACTCATGATTGTCGGAGGGGCAGCCTGGGCCAACCGCTTGGAATCCCCAGGTGTCACACAAGTGTCATGTTTATATGCTCATTTTTCCTTGTATCAATACTGTCTCTACTGTGGCTTTTCAGTTTTGAACGTCTTGTTGATGTATAATTATGATATTTTTGTGAATGTTTTTTGCTGCTGTTACACTTCTGGGAACTCGGGAAAGGTGAAGCTGTTTTAACAGCTTTTGTGCCAAGCCCCCACCAATACTGTAAATCATTGCTGGGAATAAAGCTATTATTATAAAGAATGCGAGCAGGATCTATGACATGCGTCCTTCATCATTTTATTTCTGGATTACTTCATTCTTACGCAATTTTGTGTAGGAAATAGTTAAACAAATTCTGCAACAAACCGTCATCACTCAGACTTGTCGAAAAATACAAAAAGTGGCGAAATACATTACTCCTCACTTGCAAATGAAAGGAACACGTAGCCGACATGCTTTACTTCGCACTCAAAGGAAAACGTTACCTTACCGTTAACGGAAAAAAGAAACGTACGGTACTTTTGCTTTGCTTTTTATCAACGAATTGAAATGCTTTGCCGTTTTGACATTATAAGTATACATATACACAAACACTTAAAATAAACACGCTATAATATTTTTTTTTCTTTCTGATTCCTCACAAGAAAAAAACAAAAAAAAAAACGCCAAAACAAAAATAATTTTACCTGGCGCCGTAACATACGAAAACAAATTATATATATATATATATATATATATATATATATATATATATATATTTATATTTGGGGAAGAAGATGCGACGATTAATGTAACTATTCCTTACCCATTACTCAAAATAAGTAACGTAAGTGTTTTATCTGTTATGCTTTGAAAAGGTAACGAGGTTACTACAGACCGAAAAAGTAAGAGGTTACCGGCAGCCAATGTTGGCGGTAAAGGCTTATGGCCGATACTAACTATCACTAATAGGCTTCACTTTTAAATAATGACGAATAATTTCTAATGAGTCTCATATGTTGCCAACCGATTCCGTAAGTAGAATGTCACAATGTCTGTCATGTTTGTCCCGCGTATCTATAGGGCCAAAGACAACGTCCCATGCAAGGCCTCTTTGAAGAGTGCCGTTACAAGTTTATCTCTGCAGTACATTCTTGGAAAAGCGAGAGCGCGAGAGAAAGAAAGAGAGATAACGCGCAGGAGCGTCAGCGTCTCTGAATGCCCCGATCTTATAAATGTGGAACGCTACCAAGCAAAGGTCAGTGTGCTTCTGCAATTTGTACGTCATCCGAAGGCGGGCGCACAACCACCAGCTGTCCACCCCAGTCGCTTAATTTTACCCGAAATCCTACAACAAAAACCATGACTGCCAAATTTAGCCCCGAACGTTACGCGCATCTGAATGATACAAGTAAGACCATGAACAAGGAAGCTTTGAGAATGACAACATTTCTTAAACCATCGAGCGAGTGTGAACAAATGCTAGACATCGGATGTGGAACGGGTGAATTCACGAGGAACGTGCTGCTTTCATGGATTAAGCCATGCCACAAGATGGTAGCTGTGGACGCATTGCCGGGCATGATTGAATACGCCAAGGCGAATTATCCGCATCCAAATATAAGCTATGCGGTCCTTGATGCAGGTTCAAAGGACATCTCAAATTTTTTGAAAAAACAGGGCAAGTTCGATCGTGTTTACTGCTTCTACTGCTTGCACTGGATCAAGGATCAGGAGGTGGCGCTCGCAAACGTGGGCAAGTTTTTGAAAGACGACGGGGAGTGCCTCTTTTTGTTCGTTTCTCAGTTTGTTTTTTACGACCTGTGGCAAGAGATGGCATCAATGGAGCGGTGGAGGGACATCATTGGGGTGAGTGCTTGTTTGCACGTTTGAACCTTTTAGACATATATTTAGTTTGGCCAAATGCGTTGCAAAATGCTGCCTCGGTTAATTTTGTCTCTTTTCCTAAAAATAAAAAAAAAATATTCTTGCATTACTCTTACCACAACGAGGTAAGGAAATTGAGTACAGAAATCTGAGGGTTTTTCTTATGTATTTGCGTCGAAATTACAAAGGTGTCTTCTTAGTAACGCTCCCCAAAAGGTGCTATTGTAAATGATTTATTGGCGTTCTGGATCGCACACATATGTTTTATTCGTAAATGTAGAGCTCGTATTCACTTTAATGTAATCCTCCTTCAGGATCCTTTGGAAATCTTTCCGAAATCCTGGAATCGTGATCCCAAACCGAGTCTGAAGGATGTGGAAACGTCTGTGAAAGAAATGGTCGCCGACGCTGGAATGGACACCATAAGTTGCACTGTTTACCCCGCGACTCCATGCGTCTTCAAGAACGCCCAAGGAGTACTAGGTAAGATTTGGTAAAAAAATAAAGTAATTTGTCAGGTCAAAATGTCACTCCATGCAATTTGTGTGTACAGTTCTGTATGGAACTTAAACGAGAAGAATGAAAAAGAAAAGAATGATTTTTTGTGTGTTGATATATTTAGTATCTGACTTATTTTCAAGTGGTTTCGTGTGTTTTTGTTTTCGACTAATTTTGCTATTTTATTTTATTCGTCTTACAATACAAACGCACCTGCAAAGTGGTAAGATTGTGATTTGGGTGAGGGGTGAAGTAGTTTTACAATGATGGGAACTAACAGCTGGAAAAACAGGGACAGCGATAAAAACACACAGGATTATACAAAGTTGTGCCTGTCGTGGGTGTTTTTATGTTTCCACGTTTTAGAGCGCAGCTCTTCGGCGCCCGTTTCCGGCTTCAACGGCGTCGCCATCAGAGTAACCACGTGATGACGATGACATTACACGTGACGTCACTGGTGACGTCACTGATGATGTGATCAGTGACTATGACAATGACGATGACGCCAAATTCCCCGCTAAATTTAGCGCAAAACATTTCCCCGCTGAATCTATCAAAAAAGAATTTCCCCGCTAAACTTAACGCAAATGTTTTTTTCCGCCACATTTAGCGGAAAATATTTCCGCCCTAATTCCAGTGGAAAAAAATTCCCCGCTAAAGTTAGGGGAAAAAATTGCCCCGCTAAACTCCCATCCAATTTATACGCGACGAGCTCTTACCAAAGATGTGCATTTTCTGCGACTTGCGTTAAGCACACGTCGATCCACACCCCTGTTAGTAGTGGGAGACTTTGCACCTTCTCACCTAAAGAACTCTTCCCTGCTCCTCCTAAAGAGTTTTTTTTTTATTTTTATCCCCATAATGGACACCTGCAAAGAAAAATAAGCTATTGCACCAATTTAAAAAAAACGAACAAACAAAAACACGTAATATATAAAAACAATATCTGCAAACCTCGCGAGGGAGCGTAGATGCCTGAATTTCAAGTTGTTTTCTTTTCTTAATAAGATTATATTATTTTTTTAACATGCCAGAAAGGTACAAGGGTTTCAAAGCAACGGATTGTGAAGAATTTTCATCTCAAATAAAATATGTACAAGCGAAGCGCTGCATGTTTCGTCAAAAATCAAATGGCCTCCGCGGAGCCTCAACCTTTTCGTTAGAGCTTCCACACAATGTTTTGAACGTTTAGCCATATTAGTTTTTCTGCTTGTATCATTTTCGTAGGTGATAATAACCTGGAAGGCTTCAAGCCATGGCTAGCGGGTTCTCTATACACATTTATCATGGCTTATAGAACATCAGAAGTCTCTTGAGCCACGATTTAGCCAAGGGTGTTTGATATCGATGGAGATGTTCCTATTCGGTATCACTTGAATCATTCCAAAGTAGCAGTTTGTTTTGGCAAATATATCGTTTTTTGCCCATTTAGGGTCATGAAAGGGCAAGAAAGCCTAAAGCAGGGGACACACGAGCGACGAAAACGGGCGCCGCGCGACAGCGTGGGACAGTATCCATGGCAACCGGTGCTGGCGGCCCTACGTCACTTCCGCGCGGCGCGGCGTCGCTCAGTTCTGGTCGATACAGATAGGGCCCCGCTGTGCGCCTGTGGCACGCCTAGCGGCAAGCAGCGACTTGATATTCTTTGGCTAGGGGCTGGGTGTATTGGCCTGAATTCGCCAAACAAGTGTTAGCGTAAGGCTTCATTTCACGGTTCTTCGATTTCCACCTGGCGATTTCGGGAATAAATTTCCGAGCAAGTGCCAAAAGTATGCTTCGCTGCTGGTTGTTTGAGTGATACGTGGGATTTTTCGCTCATATCTGGAACTTCGGCAAGTATATGGCGAACCACAAAAAAGTAATAGAAAAACTACAGAAGCGTGCTTTGTCACTAACACTTTGAAGAGAAACGTTATTAGCCTTAAGTTAGGCACTTAGAATCGACCCACTCGGGCCAAGTTTGGCGGTTCTTTTCTGTGCTGAGTGGGTTGTTATCGAAGTGTACACCGTTATAAAGGAATTCCATAGTTCGAAGCTATTATAAACATATTTCGTAAGGTTTGAAGTTCAAATAGATTATTTGACGTTTTACAAGGAATGTTTTACGAAGCGTTTTTCTATATAAACCAGCCCGTATAGGCCTTTTTAATTATATTTTTAGTATTACGCTTATGGGCTGATCATGAAAAAACAAACGGTTCTAATGAACTATAAATTAACGTAAAATTCCGAGAAATGCCCCATTCCGAAAGGTACCCCAGCCCTATTTTTGGATTGATTTGCTATTTTCTTTTAAACACTGAACGATAGCCCACTCCTAGTAATCGTGGTGCTCGGATCACTGATGACCTTGGAGTAAATGCATCTAGTTGCATATGGCGGGAGGTAAGGGAACATCGCTGACTGGGAAGTGCAGTCACCCTGGCTGCGATAACATGTTGGCAGAAACACTTGATCTAGAAATAGCATTTCTTAACTTTCTCCTGATTGCACACCGAAAATTAACCCACTCCTTACTTCCCCCCATTTTATTCTCAGTTTTATGGTGGGCTATCTCTTGGGACATTACGGTAAAACATTAAACTCTTCTCAAATTTGGTTTACGAATTTTGGGGCTGAACAAGAGCGTTGGTTGTTAAAACGAAATACGCTTTTGACATAAAAGAGCACACCGGATAGTACGGTAAGTAATAGTTTTTCCCCTAACTAAATATCTGAAATTGAACATATTTATCACACCATTATTATTTCAATAGCAACCGCCGTTTAAAATGGCAGACTTTTCACAGAAAATCAAGTAGTGCGTGAAGACTGCACTATGGTTGAGTTACAATGAGTGATGTTCGGTGTTACAAATAAATAGGGTTACATGTTTTCGATGTAATTTTTTTCAGATTGGCGATATTTTTGCGTGGTTAATTTTTATACAGATTCGGGGTTTCTGGGCGTATATGTTTGGAGCTGGACAAAAAAACAGCTTTTATTGGGGCATATATTGAGGAAAATATAATGGAGAGAATAACATCCCCCGACGTCTATTAAACATGCAACCCGACCTAACTTCTCGGAAAACACACCAGTGATGATAAGAAAACGTGACAAAAGGTGTGGATGCCGTAGAAAAAGGCAGCCTCGCCGACAGTTTAGGTTTTGTTCCAGGGCAACCCAAAATGAAGCCGTAGATATATATATCTATTCCCTTGAAGCGTGGGTATTTCTTCTTCAAGGAAAGGCCTGATTCAAGATTTATCATTTTTTTTTCCTGTTTCAATAAAGCCTTTTGGGGTGCTAATTTTTATTTTTATCGTTAAATACAAAAAAAAAGGAAACACTAATTAGAATAATTGCACTATCATAGCGACCACTCTTTTGTAACATCTACTTTACCTTTGGTTTCGAATTGATGTAGACGTTTGTAGGTATATGTAGCGACTAGTTCTTAGTAGTTATTTAAAATATAACACTCACCGGTGGACAACACTGCCAATTGCTGCCATTTCAGATTACCCTACTACTGGCGGTTACCGCCATGCTGTTACCGAAGGGAGAGCGTCCCGCCAAGGAAATGTGGGGCCCTCGATTATCACCATCACAACTCACCTTGCTTTCTCAAGATAATGATATACTAGTTCATGGTTCTCAACCACTGATGTTTCGCGGACCTTTTGTGAGTCGACGGAGATGATGGGGGACCCCATTCGTGGTGGGGAAATGGAAAGGTATAGGTTAATTTTGATAATTATTTAATAAATGAATATAAGTAAGGGCTAGTGTGAAGTAGACTACTATCATTGACAGACACAAGAAAACTCACCCGAAACTTATAATGGATCTTCTATATCTGAAAAGAATACGACTTTTATTGCCGTGCTTGACTGACAAGGCAGTGCTTCACGGACCCCTAGAATGCCTTCGCGGACCCCCATTTGAAAACCACTGTACTAGTATATTACGCACTGACCTTCTGAGATATTTCCTTTTTCTCCAAACAATTAATGACTGGAGCGTGCTGCCCGATTCACTGGTAGAGCTTCCTAACGTTCAAACCTTTTCTGATTAAAGCATGTTATTGTAGTCTGTTTTGACGGTTTACTTTGTTCGGACTCTGCTTACTGTTGAGTGCGTTCTCATATTATTGTAGTATATATTAGCATGTTTCTCCTGTATGATTTGTTAATTCTTGTTTGTTCCGCTATACAACCGCTGTTGTATAATTATTATCATCCCCCCGTAGTGTAATGCCCACAGGGCGATGTAGGTATCAAATGAGTAAAGTAAATGGCAGCTGACTGAAATGCAGCCTGAAGGTATATTCTCGAACCGATCATGCCCATGCCTTCATTATTTACCTGGTTGTTCTGTAAACTCAAGTTTGTCGGATGGAACATTGAAGTGTGACAACCAGGGATGCTTTTAAAACACACGACACTCATCTCTGTAGACCTGCTGCTTCCATCTGTCACCACGAAGGACACTGCTACGGAGGAGGAGAGGAAAAGCATGCTTAAGGAAATGGAGACCAGGCTGATCAACGCCTGCACTAAGACACCCGACACCTGCTTCTTCCCTATAGACATTTTCATTCTTCACGCTCACAACAAAACTAAAGTGTGACGTTGAACTCCGAACTCCGTGCACTGCAGCATCTATCTAGCAGTGTCGTTAATTGACAAATACAGGGTGTCATAAAGGAAAATTTACACGTTTTTTTTACCGAAAACATAAACTAGGCATCGCCGAACGCTCATTCTCCGCCCAAAGGTAGCGCTAGAGGTCACAACCCGATGCCAAAGTTTCAGCCCCTTCCGATAACTTAATCAAAAGTTATGTGATTTTCTGAAAATTTCAATGTGAAAATGGCGGCCGACGGAGTTTCCAAACAAATGGGGCTCACTGGCACCAGAAACCGAAAACGGGCAAAAGTGGGATCCATTTTCCTATTGGAATTTTCAGAAAATCACATAACTTTTGATTAAGTTATCGGATCGGGCTGAAACTTTGGCATCGGGTTGTTACCTCTAGCGCTACCTTTGGGCGCAGAATAAGCGTTCGGCGATGCCTAGTTTATTCTTGCGGTAAAAAAACCCGTGTAAATTTTCTTTTGTGACACCCTAACAGTGACTCTCTATGAACCACGAAGACAACCCTTCGGCATGTGTGTTTTCGTAATTTTTACAGCGGATAGATGTAGCAGGAAATGCAAGTTATTTTTCATGATCACCTCTGACTGTGAATAAAAATCTTCTGCTAAGGGACCATATTGGATTTTGATTTCTTTTCTTTCGTTGAAATAAAACGCCCCGCGGCAGTGGGATCCAGGGCACCATTGAAACTGGTGTGGTGTCTCGATCCGGAGTGCGCACACCCGGGCCGTAGGTTTGAGAAATTAGTGACAGGAGTAAGACAGACAAACAAAATGCCGAAGTAACGCGAGATCTATTCGAAAAAAAAAGCGCTTACAAATAAACTTTCAAAAATTTAAATTATAAGTCCATTCACATTTGAATCGTTATGAAAACACTCCAAACACAGTTGGTCCCATAACCAATTTGGCTAGTCTTAGATCTATCCAATGATAAACATGATTATATCAATGCGGGGGTTTCATAGAACCAATACTTGTGTCATATAAAAACAGTGAACAAGTAACAGTAATCTCTTCGAACGGTGTTAGAGCGTAGTAAAAAGTAAATTTGTGACAGCAGAGGGTGGAGTCGTAAAGTGTGTTTGCGTGTGTGTGTGTGTGTGAGTGTGTGTGTGTGTGCGTGCGCGTGCGTGCGCGTGCGTGCGCATGCGTGCGTGTGTGTGTGTTTGTGTGTGTGTATGCGCGCGCGCGCGTGTGTGTGCGTGCGTGCGTGTATGTGTGTGAGTGTGTGCGTGTGTGTGTGTGTGAGATTATCTTTTATTTCTCGAAGCAACGATTTACTCAGTACTCATTGATTTGTTGACTCTTGCTCCTCTGATTTATCAGGGCTTGTCAGAATACAACAGTGTTTTCAAGAACCACTTTTCAGCGGAAAATTGTATGACTGAAAGTTCACCGGAAGTACAAAGAGGAAAAAGAGAGTTTGACAATTTTTTTATTGCCCTCAAGAAGTTTGTCAAAAACTTCTGACTTCGTCGAGTTCCAGGACACTTCCTTCTGAGACGTCTTCGTAGCCGGTGTGAAAGACTTCAAGATTCAGAAACCGACTTTTGTGGTGGACGGTCAGCTTAAGTTTGAAGACCTGAACAATGCGTCAAGGGCAAAGGAACTGGTTATACAGAAGAGCAAAAAGCTACAGAGACCGAACAGCGCAGACGCCACGGCAGTGTTTAGGCTGCGGAGAGAATGGATCGGGGTGAGTGGCAAGAACAAACACCAACACTGTTCTGAACCAGGTTCTTCTGCACATAAATCCCTCAAGTGTCTTTTTACTAAAGCAGACCGCTTCAAATATAGAAGAGTAAGATACATCGAAAGTATATTTTGAGGGCAGAATAAATCTGAGGCAGTAGGTCTGTCTAATGACGGCGGGGGGGACGAGTGCGCAGTACTTTGTGACTTAGTCCCGCGTGTGCAACCTGTTCCGACGAGGCTCAACTTAGCTGATCACTAGGTGGGATTAGAGATTGACACCGGTTTGGCATCGACGTATATGCCAGAGAAAATGTATCCAAATATTTTTCCTCAATGACTGCTAAAGCGATGCGGCGTCCGTTTGCGTACTTAAACTGTATAAAAGTTTAAAATTCTCAGATCGTTTTATGGAAAGGTAAAAAAAAAAAAAACATTGTCTGAAAAACACTTCCTGTCTTTGGTAGTCATGATAAACACCAGTCGGAGCTTCCAACGTTGCTTCGTAGAAACCGGCTGCAGTATAGAAAGCTGTGATGGAAATCAGCTTTCGCAGTTACAGCATAAGAGTCCTGAGTTATTTAGTGGAGCTTACGTCAGTGTTTCGGAAAGGAAACTGGAAAAATAAAAGGGTTCACTGCAATGCTTTATTTTAAAAATAACGTTCAGCGAGTGCTTTTGCAAGCATGGTTCTATCCCTTCTGACGCTGTATGCTGCTAATTAAAGAGTATGAGAGACAGAGACACGTGTGCCACAAAGCCCACCCAATTATGACCCTTTTTCATGTTTCTGCAAGCCCCTAATGAATATTTAATAAAAAGTGTGGTTGAACAAGGTATTTTGACGTATTCGAAGACAATTGACTGTGAAACTATCCGGTCAGTGTTAGAAGCTCGCTGGAAAGGTTTTTATTTGCGGAGAATAGTGCTTAGCAAAAACTGCAATCTTGCGCACAAAACCCAACTCTTTTTTTGGGGCTTCGGTTGCAAGGATTTTGGGGAGGCGGAATCCTCACGGTTCTTGACTTGTGCACAGCAATCGAAACTCTTTCGCAACACCAGAAGAGAAATGCCTGTTAAAAATCACCCCTTACTGTTGTCGTATGGAGTTTCAAGTGTCCAGCTCTCGTTCATTTTATGCCTTGCTAGAGTACACATCGCAGTGCGTTGCGCCTTTGAGATTAAACTCTTCCAAGGTCAGCTCTCCGGCGAGAAAGGAACCCAAGGTCTGTGTTTCTTGCCCTCATGAGCACGCGTTTATCTTCTTCCCTCTTGTCTTTTGCACACCCTTTAAACTCAAAGCCTTTCAGATAAAGGCCCATTCACATAGTAGAGTGTACCGTTTCACTGCGCTTGAAAGATATATGTAAAGATAACTGATATCATTTACCGGGAGGACGCACGTGCGTGCTTCGAGTGAAGGGTATCACCCTACTGAAAAAACCCACATGAAGTTATACCGGACCGTACCGGTCCATACCGGTCCGGTATAGGGTGCCTCAATGTCCTTCTGTTTAGGGTGATGCCACCCTTTGTAGTACCAGATGCCGACAGCACGCGCTCACGAGAAAAATTCAAAGAAATCGACGAAAACAAAATGTCGCCATAGTACCGTCAGCGCCACTAGCGCGTGCAGGGACACACTCTTTCACGCGCTTCTGAACAAAAAATAAAAATAAACGTGTGTGACAAAATGGCGAGATGCCACCACCCTAAGCAAGGCGCACATGAAGGCTCCCTAGTCCGGTATATTTAGACCGGAGGCCCGGTAGCATCATACCGGCGGTCGGGAGTAGTTATACCGGGACCGGAATACGTTGTCCGGGGTCCGGTGAAGCCATACCGGCGGCCCGGGCTGTTTCACTAGGACCGGTTTACTCGGTCCGGAGCCCCGGTAGCTTGATAGCGTTGGCCCTATCTGGTGTACCGGACTGTGGCTCCGGTCGTACCGGGCATTACCGGAACTCCAGGAAAGCAAAGCGGTCGCCCGGTTCGCTAAGCCGGTGAACCAGGTCATCACAGCGGTCACCCGGTAACTCAACCGTTAAGCGGGAAAGCTGTGGCGGTTTACTAGCTCGTCATACCGGCGAAGACGCATAACTAAAGCGATAAGGCAGGTGACTCGCGAAAAACAGAAATGTTTTATTGCACCTGGTTTTGACGAATTTGAAGCAAATTAGGAACAAGAAAATAAAAATATCTCTATAAAAGTGCAGCACGCAATAAAAATGTTTGCAATTGTAGTTTCTTTATTAAAAACAATAGAGAAAAACAGTAAAAAACAAACTTGGAACCAGAAAAACGGTTCGCATAAACCAGGAAAATTACCAGATTTTCAAAAAAAAAAAAAAAAAAAAAAAAAAAAACGGTTTAACAGCTTGGGTCTATACCGGGAAATATGCCAGGACAGAAAACAAACGCTTTGCATACACCAGCCCGCAACCTAAGCCCTACTGAACCCCATGCACCTCCAGAAACAGAGTCCCATACCATTCAGTACAACATAATTTCGTTGAAAACACTCGTTTTTTTGTTTTTTTTTAATGTTAACATTAAAGAAGAAATATAAATATCGCCAAATGCCTCAAGAAAACAAAATATTAAAAAAAAAACAATGCCCTACAAGGAATAATAACCGCGACCACACGTGGAAGTTGGTGGCGTTACCACTGCGCTACGACACTTTTTTTCTTTATTATCTGATTTCGACACGACACAAACATATTTACATTACACAAACATGTTGTACATGGCAGCTATATACAAATGAAAATATATGAAGCCGTCATCCCTTCATTGGCTGACGTTGACACATCAAAATTCTTTTAACACTTCTAGCGGTTCAATTCTTGATAACCAATCAGGTACGGTGACTTGTGTTTTAACGCCCTCGACGTACGCCACAACGCTTTGACGAAAGTATATCCTCGCAGGCCGCGCATCGGCATCAATATGAGCATCGCCGTGCGGGAGCGCCATAGACTGGGAAGGCCCAGGAGCATCATCAAACCAAAAGGCACCCTCTCGTCATTGTGTATTGCCAAGAAGCGAATACCATGCTGATCTAAAGGGAAATCTTTGCGTATAGATCTTTGAAGAACATCCCAAAAGAAGACCCCCCTTCCCCCCCCCCCCCCCCCCCCCCCACCAAAACAATGGAAGAAAACATGCTCAATTGTCTCAGGGGCTTTGCTAGTGTAACAGGTCGTTCTCCAAGGGACAAACATATCTTTTCCTTCTAAGTATGTTCTAACTGTCAACGTGCCTGTGTGAAGTT